TCCAAGTAGCTGGAACTACAGGTGCGCGCTACCACGCCCAGCTAATTTTTTTTTTTTTTAATTTATTGTAGAGATGAGGTCTCACCAAGTTGCCCATGTGGGTCCCGAACCTGCAGGCTCAGGCAGTCCACTCACTTCAGCCTCCCAGAGCACTGGGATTAAAGGCTGAGCCACCGAGCCCAGCTCATATTATTTCATCTAAACTTGTGTACCTCTGTCAAGTAGGTACTTTTCCTGGGCCTATTTTCTTGCCTTTTTTTCTTTTCTTTTTTTCTTTTTTTGAGTAGGAGTTTTGCTCTGTTGCCTAGGCTGGAGTGCAGTGGCACACTCAGGGCCACCACAGCCTTGACTTGCTGGGCTCGGCTCAGGTTATCCTTCTGCCTTAGCCTTCCGAGAAGTTGGAACCACAGGTGCATGCCACACAGCCAGCTAATTTTTTGATATATTGTAGAGATGTCTCGCCAAGTTGCCTAGGCTATTGTTAAACCCCTGGACTCAGACAATCCTCTCCTCCACCTCCCAAAGTGCTAGGATTACAGGCATGAGCCACCACACCCAGCGGACCTATTTTCTGATGAGGAAACAGATGGGAGCATTTCAAAAAGCTTCTCCAAGTTATACTGCCAGAAAGTGTCAGATTATGCATCTCAGCCAAGACCACTGAACCTGTACTCAACCTACATATCACAGTAAAATATTAGAAGTATTTCCATTTTGTTTAAACCATAGAACTTTTTTGTATTAGGCTGATATACCATAAAAGCTCAGTGTCTGATGCAATGAGTTATAAAAACCTACGTACCTGGCTTTATGTGATCGTAAATAATGAGATGAGTATAGTTTGTTTCCTCGCCAAGCTTCCCTGTTTCACCCCACTGTCTTTGTGCATGTGTTCCCATGCACAATGACATGGATAGAACCCATATCTTTATAATAGTATGCCCCAGGAGTAGTATATGAGGATTTACTCGTGTTCTGGGCATTCTCTAATCCTTGCAACAGCCATAAGGTGGTGCTAGGATTTTATTCAATCTACTTTATAGATAAGAAAGGCAATCAATGTTAGGTTATGTTTTTATTTTTTGAGTTGGAGTCTCACTCTGCCACCCAGGCTAGGGTGCAGTGGCATGTTCACGGCCACCGCAGCTTTGACCTCCCTGGCTCAGGCAATCCTCCCACCTCAGCCTTCCAAGTAGTTGGAACCAAAGGTGCGCTCTACCATGCCCAGCTAATTTATTTTTTATTTATTGTAGAGATGGGGTCTCACCAAATTGCCCAGGCTGGTCTCAAACCCCTGAGCTCAGTCAATCCTCTCGCCTAGGCCTCCCAAAGAGCTGGGATTACATACTTGAGCCACCACA